CCTTATGGGGTTTATAGGGTAATTTTGTAACTTCTGAGTGGGAGCTGGGATCTTCGAAATCTTGTATCTAGGGACAGTAGTCAGCAACATACCATAAGAAAAACTCGATAAAACAGAATTTTTTTTTCTCGACGTACAGATGTCAAAAGTGACCCATTCGCAGAGAACTGCTCTTGTTCTGACGCGGTGCTCTTGTTGCAGGTGGAGAGTCGCTGTCGCTGACCGCCCGCTCCCAGAAGCCCAATGGTGCGTTCTGCAAATCAGATGTGGGGGTCAAGGAGGAGAAAATCGCCGTGCCCGTGGACGGTGCGGACGAGCAGCTCGGGCTACTGGGGACCGGGTGCTACTCACGAGGACACGAGGACGAGCACCGAGGACGGTGGGCAGGAGGCGTCCGAGAACGTGGGTGGCTCCGGAGACCAGGACGACGGAGTGCAGCAGAGGACTCAAGTACGGAAGAGGCATGTTCGAAGCAGCAAGAAGACGTACGACTGTGGGCAATGCAAGAAGCGTTTTAACAAGAAAGATCACCTCATCAGGTACGTCAGGATCCACACTGGTGAGAAACCATATATATGTGATATGTGTAGCAGAAGATTTGTTCAGAAAAGTGCCCTTGACTGCCACGTCAGGACCTATACTGGTGAAAACCCATATCTACATGCGACACGTGTAGCAAAAGTTTTTTACAAAAAGTTGATCTTGGTAGGCATGTCAGGACCCACGCCGGCGAGAAATCATTTACATGTGACCTTCCATGTAAGATTACCACGTGAGGATCCACACCGCCGAGAAACCATACAAATGCGACTCGTGTAGGAAACTATTTGTACAAAAAGGTAACCATAATACACACCTCAGGACCCATGCTGGCAGGAAGTAATTTTTGATTTTTGAGAGGCGTTTTAGCGTCAAGTTGAACCGTAATCGTGATAACCATGTCAGGACCCACACTGGTGACAAACCCTTCGAATGTGGCATATGTTCGAAGCTTTTCCGATACAAATCTTTTGTGCGTCATCTGGAATGTTGCGGATTTGATGGAAAATATTGCATTGCTTCAAGAAGCGAATAAAAACTTTAGTGTGCTAGGGCGTGTTAATCATTCTGTGTCATTTATTAGTTTTACTGTTGATGTATGTTGACCAATACCTCGTCACGTTACATTGTTTTTGTAATGTTTCTGCAATTTTGTTCGAAAATTTCTCTTATATCAATATATGATTGTAATTCCTTCAGAATTAAAAACTCACACAGTTTTATCGTTATCTGTATGGGTTTGCCGCCCATATATCCTTAAAAAAGATGCATAATAGTCTTAATAACTTTCTACGTTCTTATCGCTCTTAGATTTAAGTGTTCAATCATTGTTTACTCTCGCGCTATCTTACCTATGGTGTTAGTCGATATCAGAAGTTGTCCAGTGCTATATTCTGTTTGCCTTGTGTTTGAGTGGCAACCTAACTTTTAAAATAGAGATCTATTTTTTCAGATGGTGCTGCAAGCGCGTCGGTAGGTGCGGCGGTATGTGCTGCAGGTGTGGCGGCAGCTGGCGTAGCCTCCGCACGCGAATACGAGCGAGACGGAGCCACCTGTCGCCGTCGCACCGCTGCGGTGAGAGTGTCGCGGTGGCTGAGGGGAGGGAGTACGCGGCGCCGCCAAGTCTGACGGCGGTGGCCTGCCCTAGGGGGACTGGTTGGGCTGGGGGCGGGGGCAGCCGGGCCGCCCTCCCGTTCGGCATAAATTATTGAGCGTGGAATGGAATGGTGATGGAGGATGATGGAGACTTACGCGGAGCCGGCCGGCTCTTCATTAAGTCGCATCCATCGGCTTGAGGGGGGGGGGCTTTGAAATGTAGGTGTGCGGCCGGCCAGGGTCTGGTTTAAGTGGACCAGCGGCCGCTGTTTCCCTCCGCGGCGGCGGTCCCCGCGGACGAGGGTTGGCGAGCAGGAGAGAGGGGGAGGCTGTGGAGGTGCCTCCGTCGCGCGTTCAAAGCAGGGCCCGAGAGCGGCCACGCTCGGACGTTTGGGTCGCACAGAAGGGGCTTTGCGTGGCACTCCGAGCGACGTGTGAATCTCGCCCTCTGAGGACGGACGGTGCTGGTGCTGAGGGGCTGCTAGTCTCTTAGGGCTGAAACAGTCCGACTGCATACAGCTGGCGAGACGGGGCTACCGGGGAAAGAGTTGGGTAGTGGTGTACTCCTCCTGCACGTTCAACAGGCAAGACGTTACTAGAATAAGTGGCCTTTCTTTACACACTAACACATTTGTAGGTTTTATGTGTACGAAGTTGCGCATACATTCCAGTCGCACAAATTTGTGCGAAGAAGTGCATGTTTTTATGCATACGTATGCACAAATTCGTAAATATTTGCGCAAAAATTCGTGCGAATCGAAATGTATGCGCAGCTTTGTGCAAACGTTTGCACAAAAAACTACAAATATATTTAGTGCGTATCTTTGGCAAATTTAGAAAGAAAGGCGAAACCTGAGGAACGAGAGACTACCAGGATTTTGTATTTCAGAAAACTTCGAAATAATTTCCAAATTTATAGAACTTTTTGTCGTCCCCCCTTTCCCTTTTTAATGTACTATTATTTTACTCTTGCAACGGTGGGTTCACCTCACAGCTAGGTTTCCACACGAGGTGGGGGTCTTGGTGTAGGGAAACGGTGAAAGGGGAGAAAGGCTGAGAGGGAAGGGCACATGGCGCGGGCGATGACTCTTGGTGACACACAAAACAAGGTGGCGCGGCCGCGAGTAGGCCCGTTTCGGAAACGGAGGCCTGCCAACACAATTCCATTTCCAGCAGCGCGGGGAATGAAAAGGGGGCCGGGGAGGGTGAGTGTGTGTGTTTG